TGACTGGGGCTCCTTGCCCCTCAGGGGTTTCACTCCATCCTAAGGGTACCTCTCAAAGCTATCCCTCCCTAACCTCTGCACCTATACTGCCTAGAACACCCTTCCTTTAACCGCTTGACCTTACTTTTCAACCCATGAGGCTGGCCACCAAAATCAGAATCTTCCATAGGCCAAACCTTCTACTGAGTGATGAGAATGCAACACTGAGCAGAAACAGAGCAGTCCTTGTCCTCAGGGCACTGAGAGACCTGAGGGATAAGAAGGACCAGTATACAGTACACCACTATGAAAGCATGGAACAAGCCTGACCTAGACCTGGGGGTCCCGGAGGCTTCCCTGAGCAGGCAACCTAAGCTGAGACCCCCAAGGAAGCTTAGATTCAACCAAGAGAGTTGGGGAGGGATGTGATGGGCCTTCCAGGCAGAACAATGTGTGTTCTGCGTGGGAAAGAGTGAGTTTGGAGGATAGGGGGAGGGCCTGTATGGCCACAAAACACAGAGTATGGGACATGCCATAGTCAGCCACACCGATTCTGCAAGGAGACAGTAAAGATTTTGGCCGTCAACTTCAAGTACTTGGGAAAGCCTCCTGCCCGGAGTTTTAGCTGGCAGTCAGCAGGCCCCCTGGGCCTGGCCACTCACCTTTCCTTCAGCCTCACCTCAGCATTCAAGGGGAAACCTGCCACCCCACAAGCCCTCCGGGGTCTGGAATGCTGGCAGGAAAGGATGGATGCCGCTGCTCCTGGAGAAAAGGGTCTCCGACAGGGAAGCCTGAGGGGCTCGTTCCAAGTGTACAGGTCCCGGGGACTCCTCCCAGAAAAAGAATGGTGAGATGGACTTTCATAGAAGAGTCTCTCCAATTTCTCCTTGGGACTCTTACCTTGTGTAGAATGGAAGTGCTGCCCCTGGGGTCCCAGACACGGTAGAGAGGAGGCAGCCTAGGGGCTTGGAGAAGTGGTGAGACCCAGAGGAACGGTGGACTCAGGAAGGGTCCTGCCAACAGGGCGTGGGCCAGCCTCGGGGTCTTCCCCAAAAGGCAGGTGAGAGCCTCCAGCAGGCTTCCCACCTCCGTGAGGCTGGAGGAGAGGCCTCTTGGATGAGAAGGAAGAGGCCCGCGAGCCCAGCGGGCGCAGGCACGGGTAGACTTCTGGTGGGAAGAGCGTGGCTGACTCAGCCTCCTACAGCGGCTGCAGGATGTCCCCCTCGGTGGAAGAGGCCGGGCTCCCTTTGCTGACCCAGGGTCAACCCGGCGATTCCTCCTGGAGAAGCAGGAGCCCCCGGCCCCAGGCCACAGCGCGTGCCCAATGCCGAGAAGACTGGGAGTAGACGGGCTCAGCTGCAGCTGGGTGCCCAATGGGAAAGGTGGCCGCTGCACCTCAAGCCCCAGGGTCAAGGCCACTTCTCCTTCGGCTCAGGGTTGACCTTCGGTGACCCCTGTAGCCTGCGGGCATCCCCTGTTGGGGTAGTAGGAGGGTAAAAGAAAACTCCGAAGGGAAAGGCCGAATCCTGAATCATTGGAAAGTCCACCACACAGTCCGCCCTCCCTCTCCGGCTGCCATCGCCATCGGGGTCCACGCGGCTCCAAGACAAAACCCCAGTTGCCCCCAAGGCCTCATAGGAGGGGCACTGCCAGAATCGCCTGTTTTCAGGGCAAGGGAAGGGGGCCGGTAGAGGCCGGAGCATTCCCGAGGTCTCGGTCTCTCAAGGCAGGGGAAGAGGGAGGCGCCGGGGCGGAGCGGGACGGAGAACAGGGCGGGGCCAGGTGGGCAGGCCACGGTGACCTCCTGCTTTTGGAACCCGCGGCGTGGGAAAGTCCTCTCCTGGGGCCTCAGGGGGACCCGGAGGGAGGTTCGCGTTAAACCTGGACTTCTCCAGGCCGGGCGCGGTGGCTCACGCCTGTGGTCCCGGCACCTTGTGAGGCCGAGAGGGGCGGATCTCGAGGTCGGGAGATAAAGACCATTCCGGCCAACACGGTGAAACCCTGTCTCTACTAAAAATACAAAAAAATTAGCTGGGCGCGGTGGGCGCACGCCTGTAGTCCCAGCTGCTCGGGAGGCTGAGGCTGGAGAATTGCTTGAATCCGGGAGGAGGAGGTTGCAGTGAGCCGAGATCGCGCCATCGCACTGCAGCCTGGGGGACAGTGCCAGATTTCGTCTCCAAAAAAACCGAATGAGGTTTCTCAAAAAGGAAAAAAATGTAACCGTGTGATACAGGGCTGATGGCGGCCGGGAATGGAGGAACTGCGTGTTTTCGAGGGCAAATTGGAACTTCTCAGCGTTTTAGGTCCCCAACCTGGGAACCCCTGGAACCGCGGGAGGCGGGTGAGGTAGTTCATCTATTTGTGCCCCAGAGCTCAGGGAGGCACTGGCGTGACGCGAGTCGGGGACAGCAGGCTGTTTAACGAGTGGGTGAAGGTAGGGGTCTTCCATGACCACCACAGAAACAAAACACCTGGGTCGGGATTTCGTCCAGTATTGGAAAAGCGAAAGAACAGTCAGCTGGGGGTGCCAGGGAGGCAGGTGAGGTACAGACTTGGAACCCTGAGGATGGTCCACAGAACGCAGAGGAGCACAGCCAGGACAGCGTCCCGCGTAGTCCAAGGAAGACTGGGCAGAAGGCAGGGGAATCTGCCAGGGACCAGGCGAGCAAGCTGTGTCGGGGAGGGCTCTTGGCCTGCCCTGCACACCTGGATGGCTATAGCCCACGGCGGCTCTGCCACCGTCCCTCCCCCGTCTTCCGCCTTTCCGCAGGCTTGTTAGCCTACATTGCCGAGATTCTTCTCCAGGCCTTCAAGGCCCTAGATTAACGGCGCCCTCCGTTTCACTACTGTGCCCTCAGCCCCTGCACACTGCAGCTCAGTACGTTGGTACTAACTCTTCCCTCTGATTGAAACATTTTTGCCCCACATGCCTTCGCTCCCACAGGAACGTTACTCTCCCATATACCCACAGGGCTGTCCCCGTGTGTCTGCTGCTGTCACCTCCCCTCTTCGCATACCGTAGGAAGGAAACTGCAAACAAAACAAACAGGGATCCCCCTCTGTCTTGTTCACAGCTGCGTCCCCAAGACCTAAAACAAGGCCTGGTACCCAAGAGGTGCTCATTCAGTTTCACAGGATTTACTCGGCCAGACGTTGTTCAGGGCGTTTTACATTTGCTTCTTTATTTTCCAGCCACCATGTAATGTAGAGACTAATATTATTTCCAATCTCGTTTCACAGATAAGAAATGAAAGTTGATAGATATTACAAAAAGTATATACTTACGTATAATGCCCCCTTTATTTTTTTTAGGTATGGGTGGCTGCTATCACCCTGATCTGTGCCCCTCTTTAAAACTACTTGAATAGACATGCTGCCAGTACTGTCTCTTATAGTCAGAGATGTGTGAGAATGGAAGGTATTACTTATTTGCAGTCCTGCGGTTGAGCGGAAGGCAGAAGGACAGCCAGGTACTCATGTTCCACCGCTTCCCTGTCTGGGGCACAGCTTTCAGGGCACGCTTGGACCCCCAGACCCCTGGGCTTTTGTGTGCAGCGGCTGGGCTCAGAGAGAGCTTTCCACTAGACATCCCCAGAAGTCAGAACCTTAAGGTCCTCCTTTGGGCATTTCCATTTCTGCCAGAGCTTCCTGCGTTTTGGCCTAGGCAGGAACGGATTGGTACTGTAGCAACACACAGGCCAATTTTTACTTTATTGTTTTAATATGTATTTATTTGAGATGAAATGCCCAGGCTGGAGTGCAGTGGCACGATCACGGCTGACTGCAACCTCTGCCTCCCAGGTTCAAGAGATTCTCCTGCCTTAGCCTCCCAAGTAGCTGGGATTACAGGTGCACGCCACCCCCCGGCTAATTTTTTTTTTCTTTTATGTATTTATTTGGTAAAGAGGTTGCATCATGTTAGCCAGGCTAGTCTCGAACTTCTGACCTCAAGTGGATCCACCATGCCCGCCCCAGACCAATTTTTAGTTCATCCAGAGTAACCGTCTCCTGCCTTAGTCCAGCCTGGACGAGGACCAAGTGTGCATCAGAACAAAATCTTCTTGGGAGAACAGCTCTTGCGGGAGCACAGTTGTAGAGTTTATTTAGTTAAATTTCAAAACGTTAATACTATACTTTTTAAATTGCCTATCGCTACCCACGAGGGTGAACTCACAATTAAGCTCACCTGGGGCGAGCTCGCCCCCTCCCGGCACCAAGTGGAACAGGCGGAGCTCGCGCCTGCCACACAGGGGCGGGGAAGCCGCTGGGCGGTCCTCGTGGGAACGCGCCGTACGCATAACCTCTTTCCCTTCGCCTCTCAAGGGTGCTGTAGAATCGGCAGCATCCTTGAGAAGGTGTTTTAAACACTTAAGTGTGCTTGTTTCAGAATGTGTTTGTACAGCGCTTCCAGATTCTGTTGTACGGAAGAGGGGACCGTGATGCCGTACAATTTCCCTTCGCCTTTTGCACTACTGGGCGCCGCCATCTTGAACAGAGGCGTCTCAAAGGGCTCGCCATTTTGCTTGGTCGGGCGGGTATTTCCGGTTCCGGCGGACGGCGGCTCGCTCTCTTTCACTGCAAGGCGGCGGCGGGAGCGGCTGTGGTGCCGGTGTCTCTGAGCCATCCAGTGCCATCCTCGTCGGTGCAGCGGCACGCGCGCCCTCCGCCGCCATGACTGAGCAGATGACCCTTCGTGGCACCCTCAAGGGCCACAACGGCTGGGTGACACAGATCGCTACGACTCCTCAGTTCCCGGACATGATCCTGTCCGCCTCCCGAGGTACGGACGGAGGTCGCCTGCAGGGTCGGGGATTCGGCGTGGCGCGGGACAGCCCAGTGGCGCGCGCGCTGACGGGGCCTGGCAGACTGTCCTGCCCCAGTGTGAGTCGGGGGTTGCGGGCCGGAGCCGGGGCCTGAGCCCGGGCGAGCGTAGGCGTCGATCGGCTCGCAGCTGCCGGGAGGGCTGCAGAGTGTCTTCCGCCTTCCCTTTCCGAATGCGGCCGGGGGTCTGCGGGCCGCGCGGCGCGGTGATGACTCCAACATGCCATCTGAGCGCGGGTGCTGAGATCAGAGGCTGTTTCTGAGCTGCCGCGCGGCCCGGGGCTCCTGGGGAGGCGGGCGGGCTCCGGAAGGCCGCGTGGCCCCCTCCCGGCCCGCGCTCTCGCCCCGGTCCTCCGCGGCCCGTCCCCGGGCGCCGCGCTGCGTCTGGACGCTGTAGGCGTTCCGTGGGCTCCTGCGCTGCTGAGAAGTGTCTCACTCTGGAACCGTGCCTGCCTGTTAGTCGTAAAATGTGTGCAGTGGAGCAGGTTTCGGCAAAAGCATCCAATCCCGCAGCGCTTCAAGTGCCTTTTCCAGCATTCATGCCTCCATGTCTGTCGGCCCCTAGCTATTCAGCAGCCGCAGACTGCTGTGCATGCGGGTGCAGAGAAGACCCGTCTCAGGAAAGGGTGTCTGCAGTTTCTGGCACCTGGATTAAGTTCTTAGGATACAGGCCGAGGCGGGTGGATCACTTCAGGTCAGGAGTTCGAGACCAGCCTGGCCAACCTTGTCTTACTTTTAAAAAAAAAAAAAAAAGTAGCGGGGCATGCTGGCGGGCACCTGTGTGATCCCAGCTACGGAGGCTGAGGCAGGAGAATCGCTTGAACCCAGGAAGTGAGGTGGAGGCTGTGAGCTGAGATCACTGCACTCCAACCTGGGCACAGAAAAAAAGCCAGGTGAGGTGGCTCACACCTGTAATCCCAGCACTTTGGGAGGCTGAGGTGGGTGGATTGCCTGAGGTCCGGAGTTTGAGACCAACCTGGCCAACATAGTGAAACGCTGTCTCTACTAAAAATACAAAAAGTTAGCGGGGTGTGGTGGCGGGTGCCTGTAATGCCAACTACTAGGGAAGCTGAGGCAGGAGAATTGCTTCAACCCGGGAGGCGCAGGTTGCAGTAAGCCAGGATCTTGAGATCATGCCATTGCACTCCAGCCTGGGCAACAACAGTGAAACTTTATCCAAAAAAAAAAAGTTATTACGGTCCAGTTTAGCTCTCCCTCCGTTTTTAGTCTGGAATAGAGCCACTCAACCCTGGCCTTGTAGCCTGCTGTTCTCATCCCTCCGTAAGTGTCCTTTGTTGTTGTTAACCCACTGATGACCTTGACACGTAGTGAATTATCCAGTGTGTTAAGAAACGGGCTGCGGGTTCCTCACTGGTTTTTCCGTTTACCTCCTTCAGACAAGACCATCATCATGTGGAAACTGACCAGGGATGAGACCAACTATGGAATTCCACAGCGTGCTCTGCGAGGTCACTCCCACTTTGTCAGTGATGTGGTTATCTCCTCAGATGGCCAGTTTGCCCTCTCAGGCTCCTGGGATGGAACCCTGCGCCTCTGGGATCTCACAACGCAAGTAGCTGCTCACTTAGCTCCGGGGCATGGGGAAAAATCTGGGCAGAAATGAAGTGGATGCAGTTGGCTGGCTTCCCATGGGGAGATCCAGTCCGTTTGGGAACTGGAAAGCAGAGCACACCTACAAAAGATGTGTGGCCTCCCTCACTCACTACTCAGCGTTGCTGAGGAGTGTGGTTGAACGTTGAACTTGCCAGGTGCAACAGTTTTGAGTAGACAACAGTTTGAACATGTTTTGCCTTGAAAGCTCAGCTAATTGGCAGATGGAATTAGAGGGTCCTGGTGATGACAGACGACATTGTCAGCCAATCCCTATGGGGGAGTGAGGACATGTCCTGCAATTCTGAAAGGATTCTCTGTCATATACTCAAGTCAAGGGCTTACTGTGATCAGAGCCATGTCCAGGGTTGTGTGCATGATGCAGTGAGACAGAGACAAGGCCTAGGATAGGAAATCAGTCTGACTGTCGAAGTTTGAGAATGACAAAGTCCTCCTTCTCAGGGGCACCACCACGAGGCGATTTGTGGGCCATACCAAGGATGTGCTGAGTGTGGCCTTCTCCTCTGACAACCGGCAGATTGTCTCTGGATCTCGAGATAAAACCATCAAGCTATGGAATACCCTGGGTGTGTGCAAATACACTGTCCAGGTAAAGTGAGCACGTGTCAAAGGTTCTCTTCCCACCTCTGTCTGGACTGGGCTCATGCCTGTAATCCGGACTCTTTGGTGGTCCAAGGTGGGAGGTTTGCTTGAGGTCAGGAGAGCAGCCTAGCAAACGTACTGAGACGCCCCCCCCCCCCCCAATCTCAAGAATTTTGTGTCTACTTTTGTTTTCTGTTGTTCCGAGGCGGAGTTTCACTTGTTGCCCAGGCTGAGGCGCACTGGCACAATCTTGGCTCGCTGCAGCCTCCACCTCCTGGGTTCAAACCGTCCTCTGCCTCAGCCTCCCAAGTAGCCAGGATTGTAGGTGGCTGCCACCACACCCAGCTAATTCTTGTATTTTTGGTAGAGAGGGTTTCACCATGTTGGCCAGGCAGGTTTGGAACTCCTGACCTCGGGTGATCACCTGCCTCAGCCTCCCCAAGTGCTGGGATTACAGGTGTTGAGCCACTGCACCCAGCCCCCATCTCTAAATTTAAAAAAAAACAAAACTGTCTTGTCTAGAATCTAAAGGGATTCTGTTGAGCTTAAAGGTTCTCATTCTGGGTTTTTGAAAGGTGCTGTCAGCCATCATCCTACTGGAGGGTCTAGCATTTCACAGGATTGGACTGTTTACCCTATTTCCTTTTCATCCACTGTAGGATGAGAGCCACTCAGAGTGGGTGTCTTGTGTCCGCTTCTCGCCCAACAGCAGCAACCCTATCATTGTCTCCTGCGGCTGGGATAAGCTGGTCAAGGTGAGCTTCGAGCCAAAGCAGGGGCTTTACCAGGCAGGGTGTGCTCCCGGGTGGTCATCGGCTCCAACTCCTGTGTAAAGCTTTACAGATTCCCTCAGTTGACGCTTTCTCTTGTTACATGATCTGAAGAAGCTAATTGATGTCCTTTGTAAGTCCGGACACAGCACTGGATGTGTGTCATAATGTAACTTTTAAGTGACCAGGATGTGTTACTGAATGATAAATGGCTATTGTATCCAGGAATGCCAAGCCCTTTTCTGTTGGGCCTGACCCTAGCTGATCCAGAGCTAGGATGGTCACCTGTCAGCGTCGTATTTGTGCAGGTATGGAACCTGGCTAACTGCAAGCTGAAGACCAACCACATTGGCCACACAGGCTATCTGAACACAGTGACTGTCTCTCCAGATGGATCCCTCTGTGCTTCTGGAGGCAAGGTATTTGGGGGCTAGGAGTCTCCTATTCAGTGAAAGACGGTGTCATGGAAGGAGCACTTAACCAGCACCTCTACCATAAAATGACAGACATTCGCCAAGATGGTTTTAGGATAACGAGATGGTGACAATCTGAGAATGTGTTTCCAAAGATTACTATTCAGCAAATGACAGTTAAGGCATACTGTCTAGAAGAAAAAGTTGGGTTGTGTTTTAGAGATGGAGTTTTGCTCTTTTTGCCCATTCTGGAGTGCAATGGTGCGATCTTGGCTCACCGCAGCCTCCACCTCCTGGGTTCAAGCAATTCTGCCTCAGCCTCCCAAAGTGCTGGGATTAACAGGCGTGAGCCACCGTGCCTGGCTGAAAGATTATTCTCTGTGAAGTTGGTTTCTTGAAGCAATTGGTGAGATCGAGATCCTAGTTTTCAGAAGTGATTACAGTGTTTATGTAGATTGGGAGGGTTTTTATTGATACGGTTGGTAAGGTCTTGCGTTAAAGGAAAGGCTTATAGAAATAAATTGGTACTTGAGTCATTAGCTTTCAAGAAACCTGGGGTAATGGAAGACAGGTAAGAACTGATTCTGGTGGAATCTTGGGATGGGCAGGATTAACATCTGGAAGAGGTCACAGTGTCGTGATTAACCTTCCTGTTTGCCCAGGATGGCCAGGCCATGTTATGGGATCTGAACGAAGGCAAGCACCTTTACACCCTGGACGGGGGGGACGTCATCAACGCCCTGTGCTTCAGCCCTAACCGCTACTGGCTCTGTGCTGCCACAGGCCCCAGCATCAAGATTTGGGTAAGTGTAGATGACAGCTGACCGAGTACCTGGCTACACTCTCTAAGCCCTGACCGTGTTTTGGTTACTATATATGCCATCTGACTCCCATGTGGCGACTAAGCTTACTCAACATCCGCAACTGACATCCGGATAACTCTTTGTTGTGGAGTGCTGTCCTGTACATTTTAGGATGTTTAACAGCATCTCCAGCATCTACTAGATGCCAGTAGCAAACCACCCTTCCACTAATGGCAACTAAAACTGCATGTAGGCTTTGATAACGTGTACCCTAGGGGGCAAAATCATCCCTTTATAACTTGAAAATCTTGAGTTATAAAGGGGCTTTTAAGAGGGGAGTCTGTCATTGGTAAAAGTGGTAAGGGTGCTTTTGCCCTGTTCCCCAGGATTTAGAGGGGAAGATCATTGTAGACGAACTGAAGCAGGAAGTTATCAGCACCAGCAGCAAGGCAGAACCACCCCAGTGCACCTCCCTGGCCTGGTCTGCTGATGGCCAGGTAAGTGGGTCTGTCCTCTCGGGTAACTTGGCCAATGACTTTTCTCCCTCATTCTGTTAGTGTATCTAGTCTGTCAGACACAAGAGCAGGGTCTTTGGCATTAAGTGAAATGACAGTATAAGCATAATGCCCTAATTTGCCATGAGTATGTTTCTACATCAGAGGGGAGATTGATCTGGAGGGCAGTGGCTATCAGCTTTCAGTTAATACCTTGATTAATGTGACCAGTTTTCAGATCCTTATCACCAGCGGTTTCTTCCTCAAGGAATACATAACCCCTTATATAATCTGACTGTTAAAAAGAGAGGTTTGTTTTTTTGTTTTTTTTTTTTTTTTTCTTTTTGAGACAGTCTCACTTTCCTGCCAGGCTGGAGTGCAGTGGCATGATCCCAGCACATTGCAACCTCCATCTCCCGGGTTCAAGCGGTTCTCCTGCCTCAGCTTCCTGAGTAGTTGGGACTATAGGCATGCGCCACCACGCCCAGCTGATTTTTGTATTTTTTAGCAGAGGTGGGGCTTCACCACGTTGGCCAGGATGGTCTTCATCTCTTGACCTTGTGATCTGCCCGC